AATCAATATATACGTACATGCATAACATAAATCAGATCATAAATACATAGCATCAGAGCGCTGAATGTCCCGGGGGAGAGGAGGGGGTGCGTCTATATGAAACACGAACTAGTAGAGGGACAATAAAAACGTTTTTAAATTACATTATGCTCCTTATACGCCCTCCCTCCTCTGTTTCTTCGCAGCCCTCGGCCCTGCTCCTCTGTCCGCCGCCCTAGCTGCATGCCCCCCACGTTCACAGATATCCACCCACGCGTCTTCAAAGGCCGTCTTCCTCCGCCCAATCTGACCCTCATAAAAGTTTAGCGCACGTACCACTTCCATCGCCCCTGTGCCTAGCGACACACTTTTTCCCACAATGATACACTCTGAAACACCCTCGATAAGATCCGTCCTCCCCGCCCCACCCGCATCGAATAGATGATCAGCCGTCTTCTCGAAACTAGCCAGCTGTAGCACGGAATCGCGCATCTTGGCGAGACCAAAGCGTGTAATCCCCAACACCTCCCCCTTGTATGTCATGACGTCGGCGAGTAACTGCATGTGCCGTGGGTCGATGCTCATGTCTTTCATGACCTCGCTAATTTCATCGACGATGGTGGTCCGCGCGGCTTCAATGCCGAGCACAGTGCGGGCTTCCATGATATTATTTGTGCGTGTGTGGTGGCCGTTGATGCCGTCGGTGGTCATGCAGTCGCGCAGGCCGTAGCCTTCAACAAGCAAGGTGTTGGTGGTGTTTGTTTCGTCTGTGCGTATAATGGCTCGGGCACATTGGGGATGGCCAATAACCTGGATGTTGGGGATGAGGCGCTTGAGGTGTTTGAGGCGGATGTATGGGTCGGCACCAGTAGCGGCTTCTTCAGTCTTGGAGAGGGCCGTTCGGGTAGCGTGTTGGTCGACGAAGATGTGGATATGTGAGCCAAAGGAGCGGAACTTCAAATCTGCGGATTTGAATCGCTTGTGTTTCTTTATGGCCACAAGGATATCTTGGAGGTTTAGTTCGAGCTGAAGGTTTTGAATGGTGGAGAAGTCGATTTTGATATTGATGTACGCTTCGTTGCCGGTCCAGTCTTCTTCGATGTAATAAATGATATCGCGGATAAAGGTCTTTTCAACTCGGCCTTTAACAATCTGTGCTGCACGAAGATCATGTTTATTAACCAGCTCACAAGTGATAACTGGTGTACTGATCTCCTTGGAGGCATTGATAATTTCCTTGATACGCGGTACACCCTGAGTGATGCTCATACCCGCAACACCAGCGAAATGGAAAGTTTTCAATGTCATCTGCGTGCCCGGTTCTCCAATTGATTGTGCACCGACAGCACCAACTGCATGGCCAGGCTCAACTTGGGCTCTCTTGTACTTGGTTAAGCAGGCGGTGATGAATGAGGTGAGAGCTTTGGTTGACACCTTGGCGGTATGATCTATACCCCTTCCTCGTCGCTCAGTTCCACCGTCGATGGCCCTCAATCTTTCAGCTTTCGCACGTACATAATCCTCAATGGACTGAAGAAAATCTCTGGCGCTTTCCAGTTGATCGATGCCGTGATCACTTCGGTCGTTGTAATCTAAATTCTTGCCCAACAGGTCAAATCTTGTAAGCTTAGCGCGCGCCGGAGCGAGCAAGTTTTGGCACAAGGTGATTATCTCATCTGGAAGAAGGCCCTTGTCAGAATTGTCAAAAGTGGTCACTTCACAGTGAGTAAATGTACGATCGAAATGGACAGGTCTAGCTCGGCCCTCCATATCGACCGGGTCCAATTTATCATCGCCGTACTGGAACTGTACAATATTTGAAGACGAGTTCCTTACAGTATCATCGTACCGCGACGACAGATCCTCAAGCGATTTCATCAATCGACGGGACATGTAGCCAGTTTCTGCAGTCTTAACAGCTGTATCGACAAGACCTTCTCTTCCAGAAATGGCATGAAAAAGAAACTCTGTCGGCGTCAACCCCGAAAAAAAACTATTCCGCACGAAACCTTTCGCAGGAGGTTGGCGGGCATGTTTGGGGAAGTGAGGTAATGTTCGATCCTGAAAGCCATCCTGAACCCGTTGGCCTCCAATAATTTGTTGGCCGACGAGGGCGACCATCTGAGCGACGTTAATATCCGAACCCTTGGACCCGGAAGTGGCCATTATCAAAGGAGAATTCCATCGGCTCAGTTCTGCGATACATATCGCTCCAGCTTGCTGTCGAACTTTACTGAGTATACCGGATATCGTGTTTTCCATTGTCATCTGCTCGTCACATCCAGGAGCCTTCTCGAGTTTCCCGGTTCTAAATAATTGAATAACTTCGTCACACTGTGCGTAGGCGTCTTCTACAATATGGGATTTCTCTTCTAGTAGTTTGTCGCCAGGATATACATCTGTGATACCGATTGAGAAACCCATGTTGGTGAACCATCTGGCGGAAAGCCTTGAGAGCCGGTTCATGCCCTCAGCTGCGACTTCAGGACCGAAATCTCGAAGCATAACATAAAATACTGAATCCTTCTTGCCGGATCCGATGGTAGATTTATCCATGACACCGCACATGACCTCGGAATTGCGAATGCAGAGCCATCCATCGTTGGCGTCCAAGTCACGAGGAGTTCCTTTCGGTGCTTTGAATCCTCGACATGCTGCATCTAGGTTAACTAATACTGGGGATTGTTTGTTGGGCCGCATCAACACGTTGAAGATTTGTTTCCCTGTCCACAACATTTGAGGCTTTATTACCGAGGGAGGAGGAAGGTCAAATCGGGTATCAGATTGTAGCATGTAAAGGCAGATGTGTGTGAAAGCTTTGCGATCGTAGAAAACATCCTTACTGCTCAGCATGTAAGCAGCAGTAATGAAATCCTGAATAGCGGAAATGATAGGTTCGCCGTTTTTTGGCGTTGCCAGGTTATTTTTAACTCCCATCAATTCCATCGCTTCAGCTCGCGCTTCTTCGGTCTGAGGGACATGTAGATTCATTTCATCGCCGTCAAAATCGGCGTTGTAGGGGTTACAGACACACTCGTTAAGGCGGAAGGTTCTGTGCGGTCTAACTTTAGCAAAATGAGAGAGGATACTGAGTTTGTGGAGGGACGGTTGTCGGTTGAACAGAACAATATCTCCATCTTCAATATGTCTCTCGACAATATCCCCTTCTTCCAAGTCATTGGCAACCAGGTTAGGGTTACCAAATTTCAAGTTCATCTTAAAATTCTGGCTCTTCTTGAAAACATAATTTGCTCCTGGCCAAGTCTTTGTGCCGTTTCGAATTCGCTGTCGCAGCTTTTCCTTGTTGTATCTTGTTACCTGCTCAGGATATGTCATGTTCATGGCAATCAGTTGAGGCACAGCAACCTCATCAACTCGAAGATTCGGATCGGGAGAAATGACGGTTCTGGCGGAGAAGTCCACTCGTTTCCCTGAAAGGTTTCCTCGGAATCGCCCTTGTTTTCCCTTGAGTCGTTGGCAGAAGCCCCGAATGGGTTTTCCGAAATCAGCCTTCTGCAACCCCGGCACATCACTATTGATATACACCGCAAGCTGCAGCTGCATATAATCCCAGCATTCGATAATGGTTTGTACCGGTGCACCTTTGTAGAGTGCGTTTTTGAGATTGATATTACTCTGGATGATATCCCCAAGTTTTGCTGTCAAGTCATCTTCGGTACTGGCAGCTTCCTGCCCAACCGACGGTCGGATACACACTGGTGGAGCGGGAATATACTGCCAAAGAAACACTTCTGGTCGAGCCTCCTCGGGATTCAGACCAAGAAGCTCGCAGTCTTTGTCCGAAACGCTGCGAAACAGCTTCAGCACGCGCAGTGGGTGTAGATCGTCATGTGCCTTTTTGAAATGTTTCTCGATATCCGGATTGCTCTTCTTTGCTTCCTCGAACGACTGATCGAAGACGACTTTGCTAGGCGGGGGAATCTTCTTCACGGACGACGATGCGTTGAAGGCACGGAACTTCTCGTGCGTGATTTTCAGTGCGCTTGTTCCAGCTTTCTTCACTACGCCGTTGACTGCGTTGCATCTGTAGCAGGTGCGCGTCTTTCGACATCGCTCGTTGATCTTTTTCGCAATCTGCATACGCCTGAGGTTATCTATACCAGGCCGTCTTAATTCTCTAAGAAACGCCCGCCGCTCATTTTCGGGAAGGAGGATATGGGAGCATTCCTGTTGTGCGGGGAGAGAAGGAACCTTGTGTCAGTCAAATAAACAGCCTTCACAGATACATATATATATTAAGGAAGTAAGAGAACTCGGAGGAAGAACCACCAACCTTGCAAATCTCCTGAAGAATACTGATAACCCGTTTAAAATAACCCACATGGAAAGCCGGTAGAACCAGCCTTACATGACCGAAATGCCCGCTGCAGACTTGTAATGCTCCGCCGCATGTGTCGCAGGTACCCGACTTACTAGATATTCCCATGCGCCCGTCGAGAGGGCCGTGGGGGGCGACGGCGCGGTCATTTTCGAGATCGAAGAGCTTCCTATCCGAAACCTCAACGACGGCTTGACTGACGATATCTTGGGTCGAGCTGCAATAGCAGGGCGGTGTTGTGGTTAGTCAAACTCTTCCTCACTGGTTCTTACTCCGTGTCGCAACTAAGTTTTCCAATTTTTTCTTTCTTTTCTTTCGCCGGGGGTTCACTCACAGGACGCCGAATTTTATCTCCTTGATGACCTTTGGCACGCGATCCACAACCTGGGCTTTTCCCAGGTCGATTTGTACAGCCTCTGCAGACTGCATGACACCGGTATCACGAAGCAATCATTCTCAGCCTGTGTTTGGCGGTGCGAAGCTATGCCGCAAGTTGAAGCTAATGGTATAAGCTGAAGCTCGGGTAGGAATAGATTTATGGATCAAATAATAGTTGAGTTTGCAGGATGGGAGGGTGGCGCATCTAGATTTCAGTGAGGAGTTTGAGTTGCGTTGGGAGTTGGAGTCAGTCATCGTTGGACTTTCTTGACGTCTTTTTTTTTTTTTCGGCGATGGCGGGGTTGGCGACGAAAACTTTTTCCTGGCCCGCCCGCGACGACTTTGTGGACAGCGCGACTCACAACGTCTTGAATGGTTTGAGTAGGAATTGAATTTGATAATTATTTTATTTTCCTGTTGAAATCGAGTTGATCTTATCGGGGATATATAAAAGACAAAACAAAAACGGTGTGTCAACGCCCAAATATGCTCTAGCTATATCAGATGCAAAAAATGTACAGCAAAAGATGACCCAAAAAACAGCAGTGGTATAGCTGATATATATTCTACATGGGGCGGGAAAAAAAAATAAAAATAAAAAACAGATTGAATTATTTCGCCAAAAAGGCCTGGAAAGCCTTATGTTCAATCACCACATTCCCAACAGCCTTGAGTCTCTTCCGCCCTTCTTTCTGTTTCTCCAGCAGCTTCTTTCGTCGTGTAATATCAGAAGCATGCAGCTTCTGCAGCACGTCTTTTCTGAACGGCTTGATCGATTCTCTCGCCACAACATTCCGGCCCACAGCGGCTTGTATCACTATTTCAAACATTTGTCGGTCAACATGCTCCTTGAACTTGCTCACCCACAAACGTCCTAGCCGCTGCACCTGACTCGCATGCACAACGCGCGACACCGCATCGACAGGGACCTTGTTTACGAGAAGTTGGAGTTTGGAGATATTGCTACGTCGCCAACCGGATTCTTCGTAGTCCAAGCTGGCATAGCCCTTTGTGGATCCTTTGAGTTTGCCGAAGAAGTCATCAACTAGCTGGGCCAGGGGCAATTCGTATTTGAGAATCACCTGGGTTGACGTGAAGAACTCAAGGTTCTTCTGCTCGCCTCTGTTGGATTCGCAAAGTTCTATGACTCTTCCTAGGTACTCTTCAGGGAACGTCAGTGTAGCTAGGACGAATGGCTCCTGCAGTTCAGCTACTTTTGCGCGCAGCGTTTCTTCTTCGGGGAAGAGAGCGGGATTTGTGACGATTTCTTCCTTCCCGTCTTTCCATATAACTTTAAATGGCACGGTTGGTGGTGTGATAATAATGCTCGCGCCATGTTCCTGTCGTAGACGATCCTCAAAAACGGAACAATGGAGGGTTCCAAGAAAACCGAGTCGAAACCCAGCGCCTAACGCCTCGGACGACTCCTTTTGCAATGTGACGCTACGGTCATTCAATGTGAGCTGGTTAATGCTGTCTTCAAGGTGAGGGAAGTCGCTGGCATCCACGGGGTATGCTGCGACAAACACCATGGCCTTAGGTTCCTCGAATCCAGGGAGCGGCTGGACCAGTTTCTCTGAGCCAACCTTTGTATACGTGTCGCCTACTTTGGCTTCCTGGCTGCGCTTCATAGCCGGATTGAAGTAAATATAACCAACTTGCCCGGCCCGGAGAACAGACTGGGCGGTTTGTCCCGGATACATAATGCCGACTTCCCCCACAAAGTATTTCAACCCAGTCGCAAATGATACAACCTGATCGCCTGCTCTAACCTCACCGTCAAATATTCGAACGAGGAGAATGACACCTTTGTAGGTCGAGTACCATGAGTCGACAAGAAGCATTCGGAGAGGTTTTGTATGATCTCCAACAGGCCTAAATAATGTGTGCGTGTTAGCACCAGGGAACAGCTTCTTAACTAGGGTTTGGATCCCAAAAAATAAAAATAAAAAGAAAAAGAAAAAAGAAAAATAGAACGTACGCAGGAACCTGCTCGATGACCGTTGGTAAAAGTTGTTCCACATTTAGCCCGGTTTTTGCAGATACTAGCACAGCGGACTTGGGGTCCAACTCGAATGTGTTTTTCATCTGGTCTAGAGCGCGTTCAGGGTCTGCGGAGGGTAAATCGACTTTATTTATGACCGGCACCAGCTTGAGACCCTCGGCAAAGGCAAGGTAGAAGTTGGCTACCGTCTGCGCTTGGATCCCCTGGCTAGCGTCAACGAGCAGTAAGGCCCCTCCACAACTCGCGTAACTCCGCGACACTTCAGCACGGAAATCGACATGACCAGGGGTATCGACGAGATGCAGCAGGTAGTCTTCGCCCTGGTGATTGTAGAGCATGCTGCATGTCTGTGCCTTGACGGTGATACCACGCTCTCGTTCAACATCCAGCTTGTCCAGAACCTGCTTGTTCGCACCCGCCTCGATTGTGCCAGTAAGTTCGAGGAGACGGTCGGAAAGCGTACTTTTGCCATGGTCAACGTGGGCAACGATGCAGAAATTCCGGAAGCGTTCAATTGGGATTGCTGCGATGCGTTGCTCTAGCTCCGAGACTGGCTTCCTGCCTTGCGCATAGTGGAGGGTCGAGGTATTGAAAAGCCGGCGCGGGAATCTAGTTGACGAAGTAAGGGACTGGGACTGCCGCACTGCTGAGGTCAGCCATTTGACTGACTGCAGACATCCTCGCATCGGGATATCCGCATTGACGTCGGGTATCAGGCGTCACTGGTATTGTTGCTGGGTAATTCATCCAATATCTCACGGTGGGCAGCCTTCTGTGTTCGGTGGAGATTTTAAGTTCTCTTTTTGGAACTCAAAGATTTTCGGCGAGAATTTGCGGCTCTGCTAAGTCCGGCCCAGAAAGGAAGGTGGGCCGAGCGCGGAGTAGTTAACGTGACTTGGCGATTGCCGTAGCGACGCCGAGAGAGTAAACAAGAAAACATCCAGCGATGGCATTTTCTCATCTTCTTGCTCGACACGCCGTCTAGTCGTTATACGAGCAATTGCTAGTTACTGATCTTCATCCTCCATCTTCTCATATTCACTCATTGATACACATACTCTGCCAAAATGTCTACGCAAAAAGAGAAGTCAAAAGTCCATAAGTTGTCACTGAAGGGTCTGTTGCTCGTCTGTTGCTCGTCTTTGAATGAACCGGCACCCCGCACCACATGAGTTCAATCTGATAATTGGAGTTTAGGGTCCTCGAAATTAGTTGCGGAATTTGTAAGCGAGCTTACCAAATACCAGACAGTCTATTGAACAGATGCTGATATTTGTAGTTCGAGTACTCCATACATTCAATCCTGTACGTGCAGACCCGGGCAAGAAGAAGCGGCCAGCGCAAAGAGGGGGGGGGGGGGGGGGTAAAGCAAGCTAACGACCAGACGTCATAGGTTCCAACGCGGGGTATATCCAGCGGATGATTTCACAGCGTGAGGGCACACAGGATAATTCTTGAATGGGCAAGAAGAATTGATGCTGATGGGTTTTCACAGCGTCAAGAAATATGGCCTGAATATGCTTGGTTGGTGGCTGGCTACCTGTTTCTCCGTACCCCCGTTCTCTAATAAGTGTCTACCTAGTGTCCTCCGACGACCAAGTCAAAGCTTATATAAAAAAGATCATGTCGCAGCTCAACAAGTGGATGATTGGAGGCAAGATATCCAAGCTCGTCATTGTGATCACAAGCAAGGATACAGGGGAGCATGTCGAAAGATGGCAGTTCGACGTAGGCTTAAAACACTTTCATCCCACCACAATGAAGATGCCAAGTCGATGCGACTCTGACTCTTTATGGTAATGGCAGGTCCAAATATTCAGCAACAGCAGATCTTCCCGGAGTCGATCCGCGCAAAAGGTGTCACCCGATAACGAGAATGCTCTTATGTACGTGGACTAATAGCCAACTCCTTGCCACTCGGCTACAAAATGTGTACATATAGTTCGCCGTGCTCAAAATCTCTGGCTAACTTGCTCGTAACAACGATGTGAAATTTCAGCCCCACAAATCCGGCCTCCACCGCAACCCCTCCACCCGAGAAATCCGAAAAGGAGATCCAAGAAGAAATTCAAGCGATCTTCCGCCAGATCACCGCTTCTGTCACCTTCCTCCCCGTCCTGGATGGTAACTGTACATTCAACGTGCTCGTGTATGCAGACGCCGATTCCGAGGTACCCATGGAGTGGGGTGATAGTGATGCCAAGGAAATTGAGAATGGGGAGAAGGTGCAGCTGAGAAGTTTCAGTACTAGCAATCATCGCGTGGATACGTTGGTTAGCTACAGGTTCGTATCTACTATGTAGATATTCGGTTTTTTTGCTGATATCTTTTTTTATATGGTTACTGTACTTCATTATGCAAGATAACGATCTTCTAACTGGATTTACATATACATAGACTCGCCGATTGAGCAGACGGGTTTACCGAGGGGAATGCAGAGGGACGAATGTGGCGTTTCTTTTTCCTTGGAGATACTATTTAGGTGGGGCTAGGCGTTGAACGTGAGATTCAGGGATTTGATTTTGATCTGGCATCTGCGAGTTTCGGAAATGATTTTTTAACTAGGTGGCTGATATCATGATTTATTTTATCTGCGGGCTGTTTCACTCTCTGCATCATGTGCTGTTTATATGCAGGGCATATCTACTCAACCTCTCGTTCTTGAAAATCTTGGTTCTTCTGTTTTGCTTCATTAATCTCATCCCCACAATTCCTGCTAAGTACTGTACAATTCTCCCCACCTCTCCATATTTTATTTTGTCCCGCGACTAGAGGCTACTTTTTTCAATAACCGACGCGACAAAAGCGGGGAGTGCCGAGTGGATGGATAGAAGACTTATTTTTGTATTTCAGCGTTGCTTAGTCCCATTTTTGAGGTCACAGGTATCCAGCCACGTTGACCGCGCATGACTTGATCGGTATACGTATCTTGGTGGTAGGTATGTGGTCTTTCCTAGGATATTGGTATGCATTGTTCTGTGCGTACCGCATACATATTAACTATCTTATTTGTGATATGGGGTTTGTCACGTTTACGGGGTGTGCATGTCGTACTAGAATAAGCTGTGTGCATATACAAGGTCGGAATAGATTGTAGTATAAATTATTGGTGTCATAGTGGTTCATATTCATAACCTAATTTGATAGGTAAGTCGTCTGGAGCGAGTGTAAGACAGCGAGAGAAAAAATAATAATAAACAAAAAGAGAGAGAATTCCCTAAAGTCAACCTCTATGCGGGTTGAATAAATCATGAATAGCTTGAGGTCAAACACACAAAGGGTCAGGGGGGTCCCAATCTCACTCCTATCGCCGTTTCCACACCCGTTCCAATCGCAATCCCTCTAACGCACCTGGCGTTAAATTTCTCAGCCGCGCATGCCAAATGATATAGCCGAAACTGACAAGGAATAAGAGGGACGAATGGAAGAAAAGAAAATCGTTAGAGCTCGTGAATGCATATGTCACCAAATACCTATGCGCCATTCTCTAGCGCCCATTTTCTTAACGCCCCTCGGTAGAAATGTAGGAGCTGCACATATCAGAATATCTTAAGTTTGTGAAAGGAAATAGAAAGATGCCATGGAACGTAGAAAGTGGGGGAGGGATCATGGAAGGGTTGTGGAGAATACAAGGCGCAAGAAAGATAGAAGAAGGAAATTATATCACTATACAAGGATGCCGGCCGGGGCGAAAGTTGGACGCTTCCAAGTAACCATTTTAAGAGGGAAATGGGTGCAATTTGTTTGTAGAGGCCATCAATTGTAGCAAAAACGAGTTGAAATATCGCCTCTATTCGGCCAGCCGTCTTAAGTAAGTCCCTAAATATGTAGTCGCCTCATACCACGAAGTTAATATGAGTACGGCTTCAATCGGGAGCAAGCTCCCTAGCAATCTATTAAGTTGATCAGTACAATAAATGAAATCAGGGGGTGTATTACCCGCTCCCTCCAGTGGAGCCCATTCAACAGTTCATGGCTGTTTGAGAGAGGTGGGTTTCACTTACCGTTTGTTCCTGATGTTATGAAATTGCACTTGCCGGGGCAGAACGCATGGCTATAGCCTGCCTAACAGCTTCTTGCGGCTGGCATTGCCAGCAAGGGTATCGTAAAATACCCCTCTGGTGGCAACGCGCGCACGTATAACTTTGGAAGAACGATTGGTTAAGTGTATGAACTTCTGGAGAGTGTGTAGTTCAGCCTCAGCACTTACCGCGGACCCCCCTTACACTCGGGACAATCAATAACAATGTTTCTGCCAATACAAGAATTGTGGCCTGGGTCAAGGAGATAAGAAGGCGTCTCCATTGGGGTCATGCTCTCCATTTTAACACTTGTGCTTGGAGCTGTATAGCGGAAATGGTTGACGTAGATTAATGAACAGGCACAGAAGCAGCGCCGTACAGAATGTGCAATAGCCGGTTCTGGATGGAGCAATGAAATCCTGAACTAATGGAGACCACGTAATGAGACAAGAAGATCTTTCAAAGGAGGTGCGTAGACGCGCTATGTAAAACCAGTGGCAGGAAATGACAATAAGTAGTCGTGTTCGACTCAGAAGATACTAGTGAAGGGGATCCTGATATAGAACTGCAATCAAGATGACGAGGATAAGGGCGGGAGAACAACTCCATTATATAGTTCGTCCCATTCCTCCATCGCATATTCCACTCAGTGTTGGGAGAGTGTACCCAATAAGGGTGTGTAGATTATTATGACAGAAAGCAATGAGAGATATGCAACAGTACCAATACCTTGGACCTGCCGTGGCACCAGGGAGGATGTGACAGGCAAAGATAATAACATCTTTCCAATTAACGGCTGACCTTGTGTGGGGGTTTGGATTTTCCGGCCTGACGATAGCGGGATATCGAATTAGGAGGATAGGGATTATGATCACGCTTCCGGCATTCGACAATCCGGGACCCCGACTTCGCTCAGAGTTCACCTAGCCTTGATGCGAACTATTGATAGGGATAGGGTAGACATGGTGAAATTTGATGACCCTCTAGTCGGCCAAATTTAAAGAAATAGCACCGGATTGCTTGGGGCTCGCGGCATAGGAGAGCGCCGAAGGAGGGGTTAACAGAAAATAGGCGACTGTGATAAGATTGATAAAAAGGACAACCAAAACAAACGCCTGTCAGCAGAAATGATTTCATCACGCTGGCGCTTTCAACTTGCTCAAACCCAGGGGCATCAGTGGCTGTCACACAAATAGCGCAATAACCACGTGCTTCTCTGAGAAGTCAGCCATGGCTCGAGAAAAAAAAAAGTCTGTGTAAATGGGGCGCAGTATGTTGGAGGGCAGCTATCGTGTGTCATGCAATTGACTCAAAGGAATGGCCAACAGAGGCTGCGGACTCGACAAGAAGGAGATATGTTGCATGCCAACTGCAGAATAGGTTCTTTCTATTGGTGCTTTCAAATGACCCCAATTCAGGTAGTACGGTACCAGTAGAATGGACAGCTAAGAGCTCTCATATGCCGCAGCATATCTGTAATCGGTGGCCCGGCTCTCACCGCCCAGCCCAGGAGAGATATTTTAGGCATAGCATGTCAAATAACGGTCTGTTATCAGATAGACGAATTGACAAATCAAGCACGGAAATAGGCATTGCCGCCAAGGCGGAACCGTGTGGTCGCAGCAGCCCTACAGCATGCGGTTGAAACGTCCAGGGTTTGATGATGTAGGGCAATATGTCAAATTCCCACTGAGTGGAAAGGAGGAAGAGAGGTAAAACGCGGGGCGTATGGTGCATGGGAACAATCTATTCTGACAAGAGCGCTAGAGGATATTATCATGCACGTCTGAAATACTAATCGGAGGAGTAGGCGTTAGATATCGGTAGTATGGCGGATGACACAAACCCTCACGAGCTGAATAATGGAGAATCCGGAACGGACGGAATATTTACTGGGTTCTGTGGGGTGGCCAGCGAGCATCAGGATCTGTCTAGAAAAAGGACGATAGAAAAAAACAAAGCAATCCGTATGGGATCAAGGAAGATGGCACATTGTATGCCAGCTGTGCCCAGCTCGTATATGCTGTACTGGGAGTCTTTTCCTCCACAAACGGTGTATGAATGGGAGGAAGTGCCAGCGCAGAATCAACTCTCATGTGACGGAATGTGAAGGGACCACGGAGCGAAGATGGCAGTGGGTACCGTACCAGGCCTTCGCTTCGGTCCATTGGCAATATCACAGAAAATTTGGCTGGCTTGGATGGAGAAGAAGGTCGCCAAACCAAACAAATGTAGACAAAGGCTACTCCTGGATCCCGGTCATCAACGGTGGGCTTGGGGTCCAGCACGAGCGAGCGTTCAAAGGGAAGGATATGAAGTTGGATAGCCAGGCGGTAGGTGGTAAATAAGTATATCCGCAAGCCAACTAATCAGGGTGAGCTGCTCTGAGGTTTGTAGTCGCACGACGGCACTTCCCTGGCTTGCTTCCTACATTGGCGTGGTTATTATATTCGGTGTCCTGTCTGCATAAAAACTGGTTCAAGGCTCAGCCCAAGCTCAACGAAAGTGGGCACATTATTTAATCCTCATTTTGCCGAATGTATAATTTTGCCAGAGGTTCTAAAACCGTGTACAGAGGTCAACAAGACCACTGCAACTATCTCTCCTTGAGTCGGGGAGACACTAAAGCAGGCCAAGCCGACAAGGTAGCCAGAGAATGATGCGTAGTTAATTGGATGCAAGATATCATAATCCGCGAGCGAGAGGGCTGAACTAAATAACAGGATAACTATCAAGCACCTTGACACAAAAGTCAAAAGGGTCCGCCAACAGGTATCAGCAGCTGTCAAGATCCCAGGTCTATCCAGTTAACTATTGAGCCAAACCAACATTCTATCCTACTATGTAGGCATATTGCACACGAGGAAAAGGAGCACAGGACGTTGACAGTGACGCTGACAGAATTGACGCTTTGGATGTGCTGCAGTTGCCATCGGATCACCAACAGCAATTGTCGACAGGATCGAGAGCAGCAAAATAGCCAATGGCACGGCATGACTGTAGAAAGTGAAGTCAGAGCGAGAGAGAATATTTGAAACGACAAAGGACGTTGCAAGGACGGTCCAGTTGGGATCGAGTTACAGGGGCTCGCCAGGGAGTAAAGTGTTAATAATATCTTTGGGTTGGACCTTGTCTCGTCTGAGGAGGACAGGAATTCTCAATGGGGCAATTAGTCTGAGAGAGCTGAGACTTGCCTTCGGAATCCTGGAGGTTAGGAAATTCAGTAGAATTGATTGGGTTGTGAAGAGAGCCTAGGATTGAGCCACATTGGCTCTATACCAACTAACAACTGAACGAATTTTTCCAGGCTATCGACGCGGGAAAAGGGGGTATATGGATATGGTTTGGAGAGGACCGTATTGAAATTTCACTATGAGTATAAAGATGTCAAGTCCTGCTTACCCCAGCCACCATAAATACTGAGCTTGAGTATAAAAAATGAAAATCTATATTTTAACTTATATATCTATAGCCACGAAGACAAAACGTGCAACGGAACGTGCCTCAAAACCCCTGATTCTTCTCGGGAGATTTGATATCGTACGGCGTGTTCGCGACCTGGCATTTTGGTTGCATATAGTTCCAATCTCAACAATACTCCGTATGCAACCTGTAGATTTGAAGCTACACAAGCAGGAAGAAATGTCAGAATAGAAAGAGAAAAGTACCCCAGGAACACAATTTGCCAGGATGCAATGTTCGCCAAACTTAACCCAAGCAATGGCCATCGTAAAATAGAGCAAAATACCCGAGAATCCCAGAGCAGACATCCCGCACCCTTTCAACTACCGGCGGTTCTGTTGCTCAGATATGAAACATATCCGTTTTCTCAGTAATGATTCCTCTTCATCTTTCTTCCTCTGCCCTACAAGGGAACCGCCATCCCTGGACGTGGAGAATAATCCGGATATGGATGAACGGCCTCTAGAATGGATCATACCGCCCGCCCATCCGCTACAGGATTGCCAACGTCGTGCATGTAAAACTCGAGGGATCAACCACTCTGATTTTGAGTTCAGGAGACAGCTGCCGGTAGCCGATGGCATCTGCACCTAGCCTGGTGCTGCGAACCATCCCGTCAACACCGCTCGTATGGATTTAAATCTCCCAAGGCGAGGGGCGTGCTTGAGTGAGAGCAGCTGTGTGGGCAGTGCGTTTTTCACCCTCTGGCGGGCCGGATCGTTTTAACATTGTGTATCCTAGTAGTTATCGCTTCCTATTGGATATGCTGTGTTGCTGCCGTCTGCCCGGTTGATACAGACACATATCGCGGCCTGAATTATATGTAGGACATTGTCGGACTCATATCTAGGGCTGCCCGAAATCCTAGCGGGACACGATGTCTCAAGTGGATTTATCTAATAACCTGACCAACATAAGGGAGCAAGAGAACATTAGTATCCAACGCTCAGCATCCCGATAACTCTTAAAGCTGAACATCCTGCTTGCACTAGCTGAGAAAGCTGCTGTGGACCTAGGCTGTAACTGTAAATTAGTTAAACGGCCAATGATAATTCGACACGGAAAACGAGACCTGCCGATTATCAGACTGTTTTAATAACTGCAATAGGAATATACATAAAGGCTCAGGCCTGACAGGGGCCAAATGATCTTCATGTGATAGCGGCCTTGTGGTCCAGATAGGCGCGTAGGAAGTTAGGGTTAGTCAAGAATAAGATATTGCAGCATGATAACATGACTGTAAACTCGGAAGCGGGATGCAAACTCCATAATAACATTATATGATGTGGCATTACCTGTAGACGCTGCACATTCTGATATTTAGTAAATGAGACCGATTTCTCAAGTCGTTTGAATAGGTCGCTAAAAGATCAAAAACGCCTCTTCGAATAAAAAATCACCCTTTAGCGCCGTACACGAGATGACAGGTAAGTGTGTGCTGAGTGATACATTCTCAGAAGGGAGCACTATATCAGGCTGGAGGGAGGTAACAATATATTATAAAAAAAAATGAGAAAACATTGTATTAGAAATCAGCTTTCTTTCCCAAGCTTGCCTAACGCCTCAGTCAAGAACTCTGTCGCATTAACTAGATCCGTGCTCCCATATACAATTCGTCTTGACATCGCGTCAGATACCCCTGATCCACCTCCAGCGCTGACCCCACCAGCCGGGCCCGAAGAGCCACCCAGCCCACCGCCGCCGGCTAGGGAACCGCCCCCTGTTCGATGTGCCCAATCTTGAAGATTGCCATATTCATCCATGCTCCCACCGCCCACCGTGAATACGATTGCCTCGCTGAATCCCTGTCGCCGTTGGCCGAAGCTGGCACCAGTACCTGGTGCGGTACCGCCAAGTGCGCCGGGCATGCTACTCCCACCTTGCTGGTTTCGGGTCGAGGCCGCCGGTGGGACGGCGCCTCGTGCATTTGCGCTGCGTGGGTCGAAATAGAGGTAATTCTCTGTCATTGCAATCGCGGAACTTGATGCGCCCGCGGGATCCATGATCGATTCCGTGATTTTCGTTAGAGTTAGGTCTTTGTTTACAGGGAGGAAGTTCTTTACGCCGGATATTAGGGAGTCGAAATTCGCGCCAAGGGCGCCGGAGGTGATGCGGTCTGTAAGACGGTTTGAGAGAGAAGAGAAACCGCGGAAGAGGTCGGAGGAAGGTTGTTGGGTGGTTGCGGTGGTAGCGGTTGTCATCATTGTCATCCGAGTTATTTCTCTGACCCTTTTTACGAATGCAACTGCGCTAATGTCGGTACATCCGGCCTGCATGAGTACCTCTTCAAAGCGGTTCAGTTCTGTTCTGGAGAGGTCTGTCTCTGTGCTTAAGAACCAAATTAAGAAGAACCTCAGCTTGTCCAATGGATTTGTGCCCCCGTCAGGCTTGGATAATATTTCAAGAATTTGCGATTTATTCTGCTTCGTAATATTTTCCTCGAGCTGGAAGAAATTATCTAATTGTCGATCCTTAATTCCTTTGAGGAGAGCAGTGGCGATGTTCATGTGCATGTCGAGGAGTGCCTTCCGCTCCCGTAGCTCTGGCAAGAGTGTGATAGCTGCCTTGAGGTGTTGGGCCGATGCGCTGGTGTCGTTTTGAAGATCTTCGATGGAAGAAGCGCCTGTCTTTCTCGTTATATCGGCCGCGTCTTCTTTGTACCGCGTTAATTCGGCGTCAATGTCTTCGGCCACCTGCGGGAAAGGGACGCTTGCGTTGCGGTTCCAAAAGAAATCGTTCACACTCAAATCATATGAACGTTTGGTTGTACCCTTTGTGGGGTTCGAGTCGTCGACCGGTACCTCAACCGTGATACGGTTGAGATGCATTTTTAAGACATCATGGACCAGTGATTGGTAAGTCCAGGAATGGGAGAGCATGGGCACCAGGTCCACGTTACGGTCGACGATGATCAGAACAGGACGACTTGATGGGGCCCCAGCACCGTGCCGTTGGGAGGAGCTAGAGAACAAGTTATCTTTGGAATTTAATATGTGGTCCCTCAGTTTGCGATCGAGTTTAGTCGCAATTAGCTCGGATGCTCCTCCTTTCGGACATCTGATTATCGGAATGGAGCCTTCACTTGCGTTAGTGAGAGGCACTAGGATGAAAGAATATTTAAGGAGAAGCATACCCATAGTGACACTGACGCTAAACAAACCACTCACAATTCTGTCTATCATGTTATCCAATTCCTCATCTGTGGTTTGGGTGCTGTTTATTTTCCAGTACATATCTTTCCCCATTCCCAAACTGAACAAATCCGGCTCCGAAACGATAAAATTCAAATACTGATCGTAAACCTGGGCAACCTTTTCTGATGTTTCCGTGGAGGCTATTTGAGAGGCAAAGTCCTCTAGGAGTGGTCGTGGAACCGACGATATAAAGTTCACGTATGCAGGCGAGTAGATATCTCTTTCTAAGTCTGAGGTTATAAGCTTTATGTTCTCCGGAGTTGGCTCAACAAAGTATATCACAGGAACGTCGGGAATTGGACATCGAAGACTTTTGATATTTCTAATTCCCATGCGTTAGCAAAGAAAGTATACTCCTGAAAGCACGAATTAACTCCAAGAGCACTCCTACAGATGGATTGTGACACCCCATGTTCGAAGATCGTTGACTCGCAAAACGCTGCTTATAACATCACGGCCCAAGTTATCAAACACCAACACTTTCCATATGGGATCGCCATCTTCATTGAGTATTGGAGTGGAGTGTATTAGGCCAGTAGGGCCAACAGCGTCGCTGTGGAAGTCATTCTGGTGAGGCGCTTCATGGTTCAGATTTAGGATCTTCTCAATAGAAGCTATATAAATAAAGGGATATATTAGTCACATTCAATATAGGACCATTAGAGCAGAGTTCATACCAATTTGCCTCTGTCGGAGAGAAGGAAGATGTGAAGCCATCAGGAAGTAGATAGACGGAGATGCGCCTGTCAGGAGGGTTGGCGGGGCTCGAAAAGAGTTCACTCTTCCTGCCTCGGATGAATTATTTAAAGATTACTGAGAGCATAAAAAGTATGGTCGGAAGTCATTCGAGCCGGACATCGGCGCAGATCATAATCAATCGGCGGTGCAAAGTAGATACATAATAGCTGGTTGTTGTTGTCGCTATCGCCAGATCTCAGTACAGGAAGCAGAAAACTTGACCTCGCTAAGTGCGCCACTTGACCTCGTTATGTAAGCTGACCTCGCAAATGTGGCCCGTGCCACTACCTGACCTCGCTCAATACATCTTTTCTTGTAATTTGAAACCACTCTTTCTTTCTTAATTATTTACCATCAATTCTACAATCAATTCAAAATCAATTTAAAATCAATTTAAAATCAATTTAATACTGAAATTATTCTTGAATTTAATAATAAAGTAAGTGTTTATATAATTTACACTGAATTGATTATTAACTGATTTTCAATCAATTATTAATTACTTAAATATACAGATTGAATTTATTTTATTACTATAATTAATTAACAATTAATTCAGAATCAATTTAAAATCAATTTAAAATCAATTCAAAATCAATTCAATACTGAAATTATTCTTGAATTTAATAATAATACTGAATTGATTATCAACTGATTTTCAATCAATTATTAATTACTTAAATATATAGATTAAATCTATTTTTATTACTATAATTAATTCAGAATCAATTCAGAATCAATTTAAAATCAATTTAAAATCAATTATTAAATATTTTTATCTTAATATGTTTTAAAATTCTGTAAAATATCTCTTTATATTCTATATGAATTTGTCTGTTCATTTAATTGATTATGAATCAGCTATATATGCTTTGATTGATTGATGAACTGAGTGAATGAGAATGAGTGAATTGAAAGATTGAGTGGATTGAAAGATTGAAAGTCAATTACCAACTGATTATTACTGTATTGTGCGAGGTCGGGGTCATGATTATGTAACGAGGTCAAGTGGCGCACTTAGCGAGGTCAAGTTTTCTGTATAATCGCTCTGCGCCGCGATGTACTGATGACATAATCAGCAGTTCGGAGTCCCGGAAGTACTATTCTTCCGCTATTTCTTTCCGGAAAATCAGCCGGACCGGTGGCGGATGACAAAACAACGTCGTCGTGCCGGTCAGTTCCCATCGTCTCTCAAACAACAAACGCACTCTCCATCATCCCCATATCCCGCATATCCCTTCTCAACTGCTGAATTCTCATCGTAAAGGCATTCACTATGCTATTAAGCTGAAAAACTGAGGTACGGGCTCCTGTATGAGACTTTTCTCCGTGGACTAAGGCGAGTGGAAAACTGGCAAGGCTGCCCTAAAGTTGGTGGCTCCAGAAGGAGAATACCGCGCAGGAACAAGGTGCGAGGATAGAAGAGGGACATTTGAGAGAATTTTGAGTTGGAAAACAATACAATACAGCCTGGGAGGTATTTGGAAGAAGCTGAGCGGCTGCTGTGGTGGATATTGCTGTACTTTTTGACTTGTGGTGTATTCCTCTTGGGTGGTCGTCTATTTTTGCAGCAGAGTTTCCTCCATATAAAGCCGGCAACCAACCCCCAAACACTTTTCGGCCAGAACTGACAATCAGGAGGGCAAAGTAAGCCGATTTGATCCTCCTGCATATGCTCATTTTTCTCTTCTCTATTTATATTACTCTCTTTTTAACGTCTAACATTTATTGAAAGCCCCGCAACAAATGGCCTTCTGGGGCCCTTAACAAAAAAAGAGTCACCTAACAAACCCTCAAAGAGAGAGAGAGACACACCCCAACACAATTCTGCACCAGCACAGGCAGAAGACCCACAAGCATCAAGCACAAACAGCCAGATATTGCCAGCTATTACTGTTAGAAAGGGGGCCCAAGCGAAGGGGCTGAATATCAAACTTTGCTTTGCTGTTGAAACCACCAGAGACTGGGCAGCACCCTTGTCTTTCCTAAAAGAGATTGGCTTGTCCTTTCACAGCCTCGCGCTAGTACGCATACAGTTAGATCGGGTCCAATCCCTTCCCCTCCCCTAGCTTGATCCTAAAAGCGGCAATAAGTCAACCCAGATTGGGGAGGAACCGTCTCTCCCGCCTTCTTCAACCACGTGACCTGGCCAACCCTGAACCGGACATAGAAAGAAACAAAGGGGGCGAGGAGTCAAAATGACCATGGACCCTTCGTCGAACCCTTCACCTGCGCCTGAACCCGCGACAAATGCATATTCCGGAGAGTTCTGGGCGGGGATACACCCATTGTACAGTTCCAATCAGCCCGATAGTCCGCCTTTTGGTATAGGCTGGGACCACCCCGTCTTTCAGGCCGCACATGCCAACCCCCAATCAAGACCCCAGCAGCAACCACAAGATATATATTCGCAAACACAACCACAACAACCACAACAACAACAACAATGGCAACAGCCTCAATTACAGCCTCAGTTGCAGTCTCAGTTGCAACCTCAGATGGTACAAGAATCGCAGCAGAATTATACCTTGCCGGCGCAATACCATATCAACCAGTTTCCACAACCGAATCCTCCTCCATACGAGGCCTCGCAACAAAATACCCCTTATCGCCAATACACTTTCGATCCCCAAAACTTTTATGCGAATTCCCCTTCAGCAACTCAGAATGGATTTAGTCAGCAACGTGCAGTTGATCTGCAGAGAGTAAATCATGCATCGCAACTCGCGCCATCCCCCGTTCGAAGTCCGCTGCCATCTTATGAAAGGCCTGTGCCATTGCAAAATGATATGCAAGTAAGTGAGTTCTAACACTGACCTCTTGAGGATAGATCTAACCCATCTGTAGAATGATACCATCAATTTAGCAAATGGCTTCCAGACGCGTCATCCGAGCTCTGCATATCATAATACCATTGATCCGCAGTTTCTTTCTGCATCTCAGCATTCAATGATCCAACCTGGCTCTTCCCAAAACGATTTTTATGTCATTAATCCTGCGGATTTAGACAACCGTCCTGCACCTGAGTAAGCCTTTCAGTCCCATTTATTTCAAAGGGGTTTTGTATAACTAACTATTTGACATAGCCTCTATCAGGCATACGGTGCGGAGATCGCTCCTCGTTTGGTTGGCGCGAATCAAAATTTCAACACGGTGCAGCTAATTCCCCAAATTACAGCAAGCGGAAAGAAGCCAACGAAAGGTACGCTTACCGTCAACTCTGCATCAACTTTGTTTGATATGTGCATCGCGGACATCCCGCTAATAAGTACTAGCGCGAACTAAAGCTGATAAGCCACCAACCAAACGGAAGAAGAAAGATGAGTCAGAAAAGGCTCAGGAACGCACAAAGACAGCAAGTAAAGCTGTGGTGAAGCAAGGGCCACGGCTTCTCGATGCCTCAACTAGCTCGGATAGTAGTGACTTCGATAGTTCATCGGATCTTGACGTCGCACCAGAGCCATTCCCTCTTCCGCCTTTGCGCCCTCTGGATATTGAAGGTGCCATCAAGTACGACACATTAAAAGCAGTTTGGTCGCCGAGGAATAAACAGCCACCAATATCTACGATACGACACGCACTGACGGTATTTTCGGAACTTGTCAAGGGCGTCCGCGATACTTGGAAAGCTAAGAGCGAAATATTAAAAGCAGCTGAGAATCAAAATCAAGAGGATAAAATCCCAGAAATTAAGAAGGAGGTCATATTGCAACGGCGTCTTATAGATTTGATCGTGACAACAGCGCTAGACGGTGGCCATCCAGCCATCATCCAAAGGTATGTTCAATTTTTATTTCGTTCCCTGTTTCTGTACACCTGGCATGTCATTATTATCGCCCAAATTGTAGTTGTTTGGGGAGATAAAACGCAGAAGAAAATTTCAGAAGAAAATCGAAGATATGTTACAAGTAATAATGTCTCGTGTGGACAATTAGCTTGATTTGCGTTATGTCAAAGGCAAGAACCAAGCGCTATTACATCTACTTCTTAGAATTTTCTGAAGGAGAGTTAATGTGCAGCGAACGTATGAAGCTTAAAATAGCCTGCACAATTAATGTGCTAGCCTCTATATTTCGCTGCATCTAATTGTACCAACACTTTTACCCCTACCAAGCGCCACTTAAAATGTTATGTAGATACCAGCTGTTCGGAACTCGACGGCGGTGTCATGTCATAATACGCGAGGGCGTTTCCCCCCCCCCCAAGTTGCGACCTAGCCTTTGACTGTCTTGTCCGTTTGCTTCTTTTCCTCGTTCATATACGGAGTATTCTACTTTAAAGAAATTAATCGATCACGATGAGAAAGATACTTATATCAATATTAGGTTCGGTGAACACCCAATTATCGTATCCGCTCTATATTCCTTTCTACTTGATCGACACACGGCAGCAGATAGCGATGGGCCTCTGACAGTGAACATTTTGAAGGTAATATTTAACTTCGCTCTACCTGTCGTATTGCCTCTTCTTGGAGTAGTTACTGATTGGGACGATAGCTCATGACAAAATTTGTGACAATGGATCAAGCCATGCTTGAGAAAACCAAAAATGACAAGATTCTCTCCCGATTTGTGAAGAAAGGGGGGGACGTCATTAAGCAGCTAGCCCAAACAATTTTATCCAACGCCGCAGAGTTGACGAAAAGGAAGGCTGAAATCGCGAAGACCACGCCTAAAAAGACAGAGAGTACGCTTGATGAACATGGAATGGTGCCTATGAACCCCGAAATCGTTATCCGTAACCAGCCTCCGCCCACTGCAGGTGCCAAGAGGCCTCGTGAACCGGAGACAGGTGGTTCGCCGTCCACAAAACGAACTGTAGCCCCTTCCAACGGCAAACCTGTTGCGAGACCCACAGCAGCAGCTGCCACCAAACGAACCACAGCCACGACTCTAGATGCCAAAACCACGGCAGCAGCCGGAAACACTGCTGCTGCCAAGCCGAAACCTAATATGGTAGTCCCAAAACCGACTCCGAGCCTTTTTAGCAGCTTGATGTCTGCGTCGAAAAAGCCAGGAACTTCGAATGCGGCGCGTGCAGCAGCTGCTGCTAAAGAGAAGACAAAGTATGTGTTGATTAACTCCTTTTGTGAATAGGTCTATGCTAATAAGATGTGTAGTCCACCTCCGGAAAAGAAGCCCACTCCGCCGCCGACCGCCGCCCCGAAACCCGCTTTCTCATTCTCAGAGACAATGGCTGATTTGAGCAAACCGAAGGAATTGGTGGCCAGCAAGCCGGCAGAAGATCTTCCTCCAGAAACAGAGGAAGAACGCAAGAAACGGCTTAGAAAAGAAGAGCGCCGTAAGCTTCGTGTCAGCTGGAAACCAGACGATGTTTTGACTGAAATACGTCTGTTCACTCATGATCCCGAGGAAGAAATTGGCCATGATGACAGCATGATTCGTGATGTTGCCGATGTAGGAGGCGAGGGAAGGACACTTAAACTTCATCGGGGGATGGATGATTTGGATGATGATGATGATGACGATGATCCGGAAGCTCGAGAAAAAACCTTCTATCCTTACACTTCACCAATAGGTATAGACGATCGATCCCCTTTCGAGTCAAATATTGCGTATTTTTTTTCTTTTATTTTGCTTACTAACGTCACGATTAGAGATCGACTTCTCAGAGCTTGATCCTGAAGAGCGTCAGAGGAATTTCCTCAAGAGAGGGGGAATTCAGGAACCCGAGAGCCCCGAAAAGCTAGCTCAGGAGCAGCGTGAAGCCAAAACTCTAAGCGTCTTCTATACATCGCCAGCTGATATTCCGACGTCTCCTAAAGAACCACCTGCCCCTGATCCGGATGAAGCTTATGAGCCGGAAGTCCCTTTTGGCGAACCGGGAGATCGAACAAAGGTATATAAGCACATGTCAAAAATGTTTTCACGGTGCAGTCTTCTAACATTCTTAATTAAACAGGCGCGCTCAGCAAAGTACTTCGCAGCCCGAGCACCAACTCCACAGCAACCACCACCAACACAACCGCAACCACCCCAATCGGCTATGACACCGCAAAACTCCAACGTGGACATTGCTTCTCTACTCAAACTCATCCAGCAAGCTCCCCAACCAGGACAACCTAAACAATCTCAGCCACTAAACCCTATATCCGACCTGGAGAAAACCTTTGGCCACTTCCCCACAAGCGAAGGTCCGCCCACTGCTACTCCAATGCTGCAAATCCCTGAAGCTCCGCAGGCTACCCAACCCGGGGCGTTGCCAGGTAGCCTAGACATCCAAGCACTCCTTGCTATCATGAATGCGCAAGCACAGCTGCAACAAGGGTCTCCTGCTTTTCCTCCGTCCCAGGGCCAAGTGCCTTCATCATCTCAGGCCCCGAATCTCGCCTCGATCCTTTCGCAGTTCCAAAATCCCGGCGCGACGGTGCAGGCACAAGCACAACAGCAGCCACCGTCTCAACTTGTGGGCTATAATCAGAATCAGCCGAAACAGCAGCATGGGTCCTATTATGAGGATGCGGATAGGAAGCGGATGCGCGAAGGTCATGGTCACGGGCATAAAAAGATTGGTGGATATAACGATTATGACGACGGCGGCCACGGGCACGGGCATGGTCACGGACATGGCAACAAGCGGCCTAGGATGAATGGAGACTTCAAGCACAAGAAACATGTAAGCTGCCTTGGCCCTTTTAAATTTTAGGTTTCCTTAACTAATGGGCCATTCACTCGATATAGCCTAAAGCAGGCCTCGTTCCTTGCAGGTACTGGAAGGAAGGCAAATGTCTTAAAGGCGACGATTGTACATTCCGCCATGACCCTCTCGATTGAACATTGAGCAATACTTGCTTGTTGTCCCTGCAACCGCCGCTTCGCCGTTTGCGTAAGAACGCTTTTGTCAAGTACCATCTGTCTGGAAATGTTTCTCAAATATACGAAACCGTTACGACGACGCCGCCATTTTCCGTGCACTGACATATTATATCTTCTCCCCCAGAGCGGTGACGACTATCCTAACGTGATGCTTGCTATTTGTCGCCTACCCGCTCAACCTAACTAATATGCTACATTTTTTAATCCCCCGTTGTATCCCTCGCATTCGCAAACTTGATTTGGAGTTTTTTTGTTTTGCTTGTCTTTTTTATCCGTTTATGCCTAAGATCACAATACCCAACATTCCTCATCCTCTACGTCCTGCTTGTACCATATGATTCTCGCCCCTACACTGCACGCCTCAGTTTCTCCAACCTTGGTCTACGTTTGTGTATGCTGGACACCATATAACTTACAATTATACCATGCTTTGTACAATCCCCCTCCCCCGCATCGGTCCATCGCCAAACACACGGTCTTCTCTCTATTCCACATTTCTATTAACATCCTCGTTGGCGAATACAGGTTTCATGTTCCTTTTCTTTGCTGTAATGCTTGATATATATATTTTTTACTGCTCTTTTTATAACTGTTTTTGTTTGGATTCGACATGCCTGCGCTCTGTATAATTACTAGATCAAGATAATTAAACTCATTGCATAATCCAAGCAGAGAAGAGTTTCATTCACTCTTAGTTCATTCAACTACCCTGGTAAACTTTTCGGCGTGCCGACGCGGGTTGATTTTGCTGACTATGTAACTTTTAAAAAGTAACGCCTGGATAACTTCAATTTCTCCTAAATCACCACTGAAATAGGAGAGGAATGCTAGGCTTCTTTCTGCTATTCAAATTTCAATAGTTTTTCTTGTAGTTTTCTCTCCAGTTACAAAGAAATCCTCAAGGAGACTAAAAATGAACGTAGTAAAAGATCCAGTAAATAAGTAAAAGAAATTATTAACTGCCTAGTAAGCAAGCTTGGGGAGATAAAAAAGAGCTAACCCGCATCTTTAAATTGAGATTCTTCCATGTCATTGTGATTATTGAGGGGAAAGAATAACAATTAGAAAGACAAACATAAACATCAAACCTAGAAATATTAAACAAGGCAAAAGAACAAAGACATGAAAATAAGATGAGAACTATGGCCATGTCGAAAGGCGAAGCGTAAGGGAAATGTCAAATGAATGCCATACCCATTGTCAAGATTTGGGATGAGCATTGGGTGAGGTAGTTACGGATGGGATGGGACTTTTCATTTAGGTGTCGTAAAGGGATGAGATCCGCATGCACCCATATCGCACAGTAAAGGAAAGAAAATAGGATAGGAAAAAATGAAGAGGAAAAGGGATTGAATGATTGCCCTGATGAAAGTTAAAACGCCTCAACCAACGCCACCCGATAAGAAGGTCGATGGATATACCCCCCTTTCCATCCGCGATTAACATTTAGTCATAATAAAGGTCATTCCGCCGTAGAATACGACATCCGCATGCACCTGAAACCCTAGTTGCGCCATATCATTGTTGGCTTAATTTTGTGCTGGGTTTGAGTTGAATAGAAGTGAATATTTAGTAAGTTAACCATATTGTCAGCTAGCTTATTCGTATCGTATCATAGTATGGCATGGTACCGAGTCCAGCAGGCAAGGTATAGGTCAGTAAAATTCTCTCGTCTTCTTCCTAAGATCGAACAAGAAGGCAATCAAAATGACAGAGCCGAACCGAAGATCGTTTCGCTACCGGGGGGTGCAGGGAGCTTAAATCATCTGCGAAACGCAGTCTTCCCTACCCTTCAGTGATTTTTGAATATTAACCCCCGCTCAAAAATGAGAAACGTAATGGGCAAGATGAAAATTTTAGAAAGAAAAAAGAAAGGAAAGGGAAAAAGGAATGAGCAGGAACAAAATTCTGACCCCTAGACAACCACGGCCAAAATAAAATCCTGAATTAGTTAAAGAAATCCGGCGGGAGCGACGCCAACGCAGCAACAACACCAATTCCACCAACTGCAGCACCCAACAACGCGCTGGCGGCGTAGCGGGCAAAACTAGTCTTGGCCTCTGCGCCGCGTGGAACGTCTGGTGTCTCTACTTTGATCTTCTTCGCCCGCGGTGGGGGATGTGCTGATTCATTTGTTCTTGCACTGGAGAAGGACGGCCCTCCGAGATCCTGGGAGTCGATTTTGGTTGTTGAGTTGGTTGTTGAGTTGGATGTTGAGAGTTGGGATGTGACGTCTGGAGATATGACAAGGTCTCGCGGCTGGGCGTCCGGGAAGCTGGCATCTTCATTATCGTCGCAACCGTCACCACTGTAGAAATCGTTAATGCTTTTGAATGATTCTGCTAGCATGGGTTCTGGATTTAATTTGTTCGCTTTGCGTTTTAGTGGGTTGGTTGGTGGGTTAAGCTCGGTGACCTTCTTGTGCCCATCGATGATGTTGGCGATTGGGATAGAGGTCGTTGTTTTCCGATTCTTTGGCATGGTATTGGCATATTTAGGCTGTGGCGGATGGCTTGATCCATCACCCGCGGTCTGACAAGCGTGTTGCCGCTGAGGTTGCGATTCGGGGGCGTACTGGAGTTGATGAGATGAGTTGGGGTACGCCGCCGCGGGAAACGGTACATGCACACGAGTGGGCGAGAAAGGCGAGCCGAAGCGGTATAGATCCCTGGTGTTCTCAGCCAGGCCATGGTCGCGTACACTATCCAAAGAATAAGTGACTGAGTATATGTTAGCAAGGAGGGATGGAGCAACCCACCAATCGGAATCATCTAGACAATTGTTATCTTCCTCGTTTGAAGCGGTAAATGGACCGTCTGAATACGGCAGCCGTAAGGGTGGAAGATGGGGGAACAAGTAGTCACTGGTGGTCGAAGGCACTAGCCCGTCGAATAATTCTGCAGGCGATTCTAGTCCAACGGATCCGGGGTTTCCGAATGGGCGATGGCTTTTGTTAGAAGCTGGGATCCATCGGCCAGAGGGATTGTCCTCAGAGAAAGAATAATATGAATCGCCCATGGCCGGTCTAGCAAGTGCCTTGTCGGAAGGGCTGGCTGCTCTGTTTGGGCCCAGAGCAAGATTGCGGTCCCTATGTCGACTTGATTCGGCCTGGCTTGGCTTATAGTCCAAACCTGAGGGATTTGGAGTATTCATTTGTTCCTCAGGCATACTTGAGCTCGTAATCGCACGGTATCTGTTATCATCGCAATCACCGGGCTTGGGAAAATTTTGAGTAGTAGTCACGGGCCGGGGGTATTCAGGTTGACTCGTCGTATCGGCTAGTTGGGAGGGCCGATCGAGCTTCTCAGACATAGCACACGTTGCATGTAGGTTTTTAAAAGATTCTGCAGAATTCAAAATGCCGGTTTCAGTTGTGTTGCCGGTATTTTCGTTGGCTCTGGTGTTGTCGTTCTGAGGCAAGCCAGAATCAGGGTTGTACTTGGCTTTAGTCCCAATTTCAAGTCTTTCTCCCATAGTATTGGAGCTAGGGTAGAGGTCCTCCTGCGAAACTTGGCTATGTTCGTCTTCTGACTCTGCGTCATATATGTTGTCATTTTTAATAAGGGTCGGCAGCGCCGTCTTGACATCGTTGTAGCTGTCGGATGCTAAATCAATAGGACGCTGCGACACTTGATTTTCCGTAACTTCACTTTGTGCCACAGCAACGGAACTATAGGGGGGTTTGCTGGCTGGGGAACACTCAGAACTGACATCCTGCTCGGATCTCGGTATATCATCCTCCTTTTCCCCGGATCTACTAGGCATGGAAGATGGTGGAGAAGACTTTTCTTGTTGCTCGCCATCGTTATTTGACGAGTGAATTGATATCACATCGGAATCAGCGGAGACTGAAGGCTCGTGGGGTAAAGGCTCAATATCAAATCGTTTGACAAATATAGCTTCAGCTTGCGGGTCATCGAAGTCCTTATCTTCGTCGTCATCGTCCTCAGGCACGACGAAGGTATTGACTGAGTGACGCTTGCTGGGCTTTGGAGGGTCCACCGGGGCAGGTTTCCTAGAAGAAAGGATAGTTGGTAACTGTAATAGTGAACAAATGGGAAAGTGCATGGGAAAAAAAAGACATACACTTCCTTGATCCATGATAGGGTGAGACGAACTTCGAGGGGCTCAAAAGTCTCTGTAAGAAGATGAATGCATTAGATGTGTCGAGGGAGCTTTTTAGATGTAATAGGGAGAGAGGAACCACAGACCTGAGCCGCGAGTAACCTTTGTTCCGAATGTCAAGACATCGAGATTCCCCAAAAGCGCCTTTTCATTGTTGATAAGTTTGTTACCGTTCAGCCAAGTACCATGCATAGATTCGGTATCGGAGACGGATACTTGCTATGTTTCCAGACCAACCAGATTAGACCTCATGTAATGACGACATCCCGAGGTATACATATGTATACATGGAAAAGCGAGAGAGTGTTACCTTTTTTTGCAGACATGCAGTGATTACGGCATGGCTGCGCGACATGACCCGGGAGTCGAAAAAGGCATTATCGCGAGCCGGATTGAGGTCCTTGGTTGGCACTCTAGAGGAGCGGCCGATGACGATCTCATCTTTCTCGGAAGAGATAGTCAGGACACGGTTCTCGATGGGGTCTTTGAAGTTGATTGGACTGATGGTCACGACAACTATGATGAATGAGATCAGTTAGTGTCAGTATGTAGGTAGTCGAGAATAGAGGGGTCGAAGAGACAAGGAGTCAGTCACACGATAGTACATACGCTTGTTGCGCTCCATGATAACCTGTTTACATTAGATAGGACAATAGCCCTTCGCAAGGGATAGAGGAGAGTAATTGGAAATATTTTTGTCGGAGAGAGGCTGCGGGAGAGCAGGTGAGGAATGGCTTTCAAATCGGAGCTGTGATTGCTGTAGCGGTCACGACAAGTAACACGAGTTAGTAGTCTTGAAGCTTTAGACAGTGTTCAGCTTTCGCTCTGTAGGCAATATACGACGAACTTGAATCTCTGTGTGTATTGAGAAAAGGCAACAAGCGATGAGATCTTGCTTTGCTTTCTTTTGTTCTTCCCTTCCGTGGTATTCTCGGATAGAAGACGAATCTGGTTTTTGGACCTTGCTTTACTTTATTCGTTTGGCAAATGATATCTTAATTTTCGAGAAAGCTAGCCGATTAGAGAATGAGTATGGAAATGTGATACGGTTTCTGGAAAAGTGAAAGAGTCACTGCTTTCACTCTAATTGTTATAGAGGCGGAAGCAAGAGGAGCTCCGGGAGAATAGTCAGGCTCATATACTGTTCTGAAAAACCTGATACGAAAGGAATGGGTAGTGGGTAGTCCGTTCCGTGGTTGTAATTGCAAGTGTATGTGTTGGTGACAGAGACGGTAGAAGGGCCGGAGGGGAATCCAGCAGGAATGAAAGGTGGGGAAGCGGGCAGGAATGGGGGAGATAAAAGCAAATGCCAGCGGTCAACAGTGACAGATTGGAATAGGGGTTGAACGGGATGGACGGGATGGGAAGATGAAGAGATGAAGCGGTGGGAGAGGTTGAGCTTAAGATGGTGTTAAGGGGAGGTTGAGATGGAGGTTGAGATGAAGTCGAGATAAAGTCGAGATGAAGTCGTCAACGACGGGTGGAGGCTCGAGCCGGCATACGCGGCGTCAGGTGAACTATTGTGGCGGACATATTGTGGCGGACATATTACTTGCGCAAACAGAATTTTCCCA